AAGAATGGCGATACTCACTGACAATGCCGACTACGATGCCGGCGAAACGTTTGGGAATGTACCACGTCCATGATTCAACTTTGAGATGATCATGCAGACAATGGACTCCGGTCTAAGTGCGTTCCTCTAAGTATTTCTACCAATATGACTATGTTGCGAAAACAAGGTCAAATAACCTTGATATATTATTATATTGGGTTAAAAAAGACTCTGAAGCAAAATCCGCCAGTCTATCTTCAACTTAGGAACTACCCAAAGTTGATTAGTGCTTTATTTAACCTTTTAAGTAAAATAGCAGTACTAATGCTTTTAAAAAGGTCAAAATAGTGCACATTTGGCAGAGTCTACCGACTAGGAACGAGTACTGGCATTCGGTATTATCTGGAAAGCATATAACAGCATAGAAGAATTTGGAATCTATATTTGTGCACCAAAATGAATTCCTCTGATTTGACCTTACAATGGGGATTAGACTCCCTGAATTCTCCACTTTTTCGTCTTAACCACAATATTGAGCAAGTCAGCATAATATCCTATTCACCCTAGATCACTCAAGGTGACTTAAGGACTGATAGTTTATTTTTTCCACAATTATATGAGTAGACCTCACGATGATATTGAATTTCGTTTAACTTTGGGTGAACATAACTAAGGTGGACTCGCATAGTCTCATAAGCAGACCAGTCCTTACATTACCTTAAGTGACTTAAGCTGAATAAATTCTTTTTAAATAATATACAAGTCTAAAATTCTACTTATATCGAAAATAATTCAGACTAATTTTTATCTAGTGAACTATAAAATAACCCTAGTTAGATTTCATAGAGTTATTCAATATCAATGTTATAAGATGGGCTTAATTTCCAACCAAACATAAGCATATGGATGAAATACAGAGAACTAGATCGTCCTGGCTCATATCCAATCGTCTAGAGCTTAAAGTGAAAATGCATTTTAAAGAATATTTGAGAAAGCGTTGTACTGAATAAGTTTGCTTACTGACTTTTAATTCGACTTTCAGTTGATAGCGGAGGAAAATAGGTTGATCTCCTTAATCGAATTAACTAGACATTATGTTGATAATTATACTTGTTTATATTTGGAATTTAACAGAGCTTGATGTAGAAGAGGGTTTTAGTTACTTTTTTCTGAAGGATGAAAGAATTGAAGGCAAAACAGTAAAAATAAAAGAAAAAATTTCCTAAATATTTTTATTTGCTATGATTATATTAATAATATAACTATACTAATAATAATATATATTTTTTAATAATTTGGATGAAGACGGCCTCTTGGCTATCGAAGGGCCGTACTTCAGTCCGTTATAGCCCTAAACAAAATAGGATAAATACAACTAATATATATGATCTCCTGGTAGCCTCGAAAACCTACTTATAAACTAAAATCAGATAATGGGATGCTTCAGTAGGATCGCAGTTGGGTATAAAAAATGAATGCACCGGAGCACCCTTATTTCCTGGCTTTTTGAATTTGGCGCTCTTTTTCGTAGAGTTTTGTTTATCACTCTGACGATTTCTGACACATTGTTGGGGAGACTTTAATTTCGTATGAAATAGCATGAAGAAGAGATCCGTAGGTCGATCTCACCAGAAGAGGACAGATGAATTCCATTGTACTGCAGCCATTTGGCTTTTATAAGACGTTCAGATTGACGCAGTCCACGAAACTTCCTCCCTCGTTCCGGATGAAAACGGACTGAGCTTTCGTCCATCATTTGATGGACATCATCAGAGCTGGGTCTCATTCCTGCAAAAGTCTCACGTTAACACTAAAACAAGAATACTATTCGGATCTATCTTGCCTCTTATATAGACTCAATTAAGCAAACGAAAATTAAGAACCTATATAGATATAGAATGGTTTGGCTAATTATCTTTCATACTGGTCCTGCTACTTTTGCTCGAGTGTGTGCGGGTGCATGTGTGTGTGTGTGTTATCGTCTATACGCAATACTGGTCCTAAATCAGAGTTATCAAAAGGCTAATGTAAGGCTCTAATCACCAAGGCCTAATGACCCAAGAAATAGCCCTAAATGAGACTGCATAAGTCTGTAAGCTAGCATGGTTGAGATAATGAGGACTCTTTCACTTACACCAAAGGTCTCCAGTTCTTGGTTTCTAGTGCGGCCAGATCACGAATTTCTTCCATCAAAAATTTAATTGAAATAAAAGTCATTTAAAAATAAAATACACTTTTGCCTCATCGGCAATCATACTATAAATGTAATATGATAGGGCCTGATTTGCCAAGAAATCCACATATTCCGTATGATCCACAGGTACTTGGGGCAATATGGCAATGCGCCAAAATTATACGCTGCTTTTGCTATTTAAGCGAGGTCGAATCTGCAGTACCCCTTTTAAGAAGCAAGTCTAGTTGATAGTAAATGGCAGTACGATGACTAATGATCGCATTCTGGCAAAATTCAACTATTAACCAGTTTTTTACCGTATGAAGACTAGTAGGACTGTAGCCTATATTGGAGGGATGGAGCACAGCCTTGTGAATCCAATGCTAGGCTTGAGTACGGTTAGTGATAATGGGATCCCCTGGCATGAATCAGGATGAGAAGTGTCCTCAAGTGGTCTGGCTACGAATTAGTAAATGTTGGGAGATGAGTTTCGAAGTGCAAAATGAAATAATATAATATCTAGTTAATATTGATATATCAGAATTAATTTATTTTTAAAACATAATTAGACGTGATCCTCGAAGATATGAACACCAAGATGGTGTGGCAATTGGTACTGTCGCGGTCTCCTTTCGATGTATATAAATGGGTTGACCTCGTTTTCGCGACTTGGTCTTGTTGTTCGGTCAACTTAGTTGGGCGGACCATGTCCGAAGTCATCTGCTATAATAGTTATCATACTTCCCTGCGTCAGACCATTAACTTAGTACATTTCCAGACACTTCGCCGGCATCGTGAGTGAGTCTTACCATTCTCAGAACCAAGTTAGAACTTTCTCTTTTACGAGTTGACGCTTGGTATTGCAAATGTCAAGGTGCTCTGACAATGTCGACCACGATGCCGGGGAAACGTCTGAGAATGTATCAAGTCCACGGTTTGACACGGGGAATTATGATAGCTACTACAGCAGAGGACTTTGGGCAAGGTACTTCCAACTAAATTGCCCTGGCAACACGACCAAGTTGCAAAAATGAGGTCAACCCACTTCTAAACATGATGCTGATTGCGAGTTCTAAAGGTTGCTGAATGAAGTTTTAAGACTTAGTTTCAACGTTATTCTTATTTTCCTATAGGGTGCAGATGCCCCAAATACGGAGCATTTTGGTCACAGTACTGAGTATCCGATGGTATTGGGTCCGCTGCCTACGATCGGCCTCTCTGACAACGCCTACCTCTCCGAACTGCCACCTCGCACGAACCAATGCCTTCTTACAATCACGGGAGCCCTGATCGAGGTACGCATGCTTATCGTTGGGGAGCGAGTAACTGTATTGCCGGCTTGGGTGGATGTTAATCAAGTTGCGTTCACTCAATATGCTCCGGGTAGTGGCCACGTCAGTGGTGGTGGTGGCAGCGTTGTTGGGGCTGGAACTGGAGCAGCGGGTGCGGCTCCGAGTCATCTGGGATCTTCAGGAACTGCGGGTGCGAGTGGAGGCCCAGGAGCGGTTACGGCAGGTTCGGCCAGTGGAATTGGAGTGCCTCTCGGCGCCGGTGGAGGAGGAGTTGCGGCAGGAGGGACAATTTCCACTAGTGCAGCGGGAACTACAGGAATGGGAGGTGTCGGAGGAGGAGCGAGTGGAGCAGGAGGCGTGGTTGGCGATAATGATGCTGGAAATCCGAGCGAATGGGGCGAGCCAACTCAGGGCACGGACAATGCTCAGACCTCGGGGATGGTGAATGCTGGAGGAGCAGCGAGTGCGTAATTCATTTTGCAGCTCTGTGACATGATTGATTGCTCGTTTACTGATTTGGTATGTGTCTTCTCATTCAGCGCATTAGAATGTGCTAAGAAAAGTTTGGTTTCGATGAATCTCTTGATTTATAATAGTAAAGCTAACTTCCATTTCGAGTGAAAGTGTTTGGTAAGGAGCTTCAAAAATCGATCCTACCTGAAGACAACAGCGGATTCTTCTTGACCAGCTGGAACATTCTTGTTGATGTTATTTCTGATGCAATCTATTCCAATTCTGGTGAAAGCGTGCTAAGCTTTCGTCCATCGTGTGACAGGCATCATCAAAGTAAGGCGTCAACCTTAC